GATAGAGAGTAAATGTCTTTGCGAAGACAAATGAATGACAAATAACTCGACCTAATGGTAGTGCTAATTTTAGTGAGAACGACGACAGAAAAAATACATTAAAAGAAGAAAAAACGAGAGAATTAAAAATCTTTAGTAATGTTAAAACCAAATATTTAGGAGATAAATAATGGGTGCATTTACTGTCCTGTTACACTTTTCTCAGCTCTTATAGATCTGTTATTCTTCAGTTACAGACTGGTTGTACCGTGTAATTTGGGTTTTATAGAACGAGATCAGTGGTTGTACTCTGTACTTATCTTTTTCCTAAGCTTGTTGAGACGAATATTATCAGACTTTTCCATGTCAACTATATTACTAAGACCTGTTCCTTTTTGGTAGGCTGAGTATTGATGTTCTTTTGATGCTCTTTGTTTCCAAATGGTGGTTTGAGAACTTTTTGGTCCGGGACCTTTGCTACTGTGGATGCTTCGCTTCCCAATTCTTATTGCGTTGCTGAGCTTCCTATCTTACCTTATATTTTGAATTTCCTTATACACCAGTAGATTTGCTGTTTCTGGAGCTTAGTGCATCTACCACTTTCTACAAAGGGACATCTGTAATAGGCTTAGGTTTAAGTAGCATGATCTCTCAAATTTTAGGATCCTTAATTGTTGTCGTTTTAATTGGAGCTAGACTGGAAATCTGAGAAAGTCAATGTAATTGAGTTAACTTGAAGCAGGTTTTCTTTTGTCGACACATGCTTAGATTTAAATATTATGGTTCATAATGTACACCGTTTCCGTAACTAAATGGTCCATTGGACTCAATGTTGCTCACTGCATTAGCATACTTGTAACTTTCCGATGTCCTTTTTTAGAAATCGTTCAGTTAATCGGAGCATTCCACTCTGTATTCAACCACTTCAAAAATACATACGAATATCATCTCTGTACCATTTGTATTACTTTCAGAAATGCGGAATAGTCTCAGTTACAAGCTTATTTTTCTTAATAGTACTGATGAAAATGCTGCAAGCCATAAAAGGAATATGTATATTGAATTTTTAAGCTTATGGTGCATTCAGTATCAATGGTACAGAGATCCCTTCAAGTTATGGATTCAGTCAATATGTAAGTTGACTATCTAATCATATAACTCGATAGCTGTTGATTCATTTTTCCTATTTGGATGTGTTGATTGTGGCGAAAGTGTTGAAGATGAATGGTTCATTGTTTGGATGCTTGCTGAAATAAGCAAATTAGATCCAGACGTCATTATTCAGTTAGTTAAATGCCCACTTTCTATTATGAAATTTAGAGTTACTGATGAAGACGGTGAATTCCTTCTTATCGAATGTGCAAACCAATTGATTTCATATTAGAAATTATTCCAAAATATCTACAAGTAGGTGAATAAATAAACGAAAACATAACCGTAATTACTGACTACGATACACATAGATGAGTTGAATATATATGTAGTTTATCTACAACCCCTCAAATATAAGCTTACCCAAGATATTCAACTATCAAAATGAAAACATATGTTCTACATACGGACTGCTCGATAGCGGGACGTGACTGATCTGTTTATAACAAACGGGTTTGAAACAACTGTCTGATCATTGCTTTGGTAGGTGAACCGTAAGACAGTTGTAAGGCCAGTCAAAAGTCACTGGGGTCTAGCCAAATCGCGGAAAATCGGACATTCCATTGGTCCTTCCCAAGTTCACGGACAAGGAATGTGTGTTATTCGATTGCACATCATGGGCTGGCCAATGTGGCAGTGGTCGCACTCTGTTTCATGTGCCTTTTCTAATTAATACATCTCCGTAATATCATTGTATTCATTCTACACGGACATCAAAATAGCCTTAATTTATGGATATAATGAGAGGGTGACTCACGTTGTTTATTGGCCGCGTGGTGTGACATCAACATAAGCTAGCTGAACATCACATTTCCGTCTATTTCTTCAGTCATCAACACATGCCACCTACGTTGTGATCTTCAAAGTCAAGGAGCTTGCAGGATGATTTAAGATTATAAATCTTCTATCGAAAGTGTGGATTAAAACCATTGTGCTACAGCTAATTGTTGTCGATTGTTTTCGATGTTATATGTACATATAGAGCCAGTGAAATGTCAGATGGCTGTAGCCAAACCATCTGGAATTCGGGTCATTGAATGCCAAACAGTCCACCGATCCTCGTCAAGAGCAACAAACATCCATTAGTTAATCGCACGTCACGGACTGACCGATGTGGTGATGGTCCCACTCTGTATATTGTGCTTACTCTTATATATTTCTGTAACAACGTCGTTTGCGTTGAACAGTCACCAAAGCAGCCATAGTACCTGGATACGATAAGAAGGTAATACGGGCTAGATACTAACGTCAAAATGTGACTTTGACGTTAGCTGCTTGATTAAATCACTTCCATTTGGCTCAAGTAGACCTCTGATCATTCGACGCAGATCGTATACTTTAGTGATATACGTATGTGTATTTTGTGAGCTTGCTAGGTTGTTTTCTAACCTTTACTTTTGTTTTTCTATCTACTACTTCCCTCACCTACGCTGCCTATATATTTTGTGTGAAGATCCGGTTATTACCAGCCCAAATTGGAGAGAGTTGCTCAGTAATTCTTTTTCAGTGCTTGTAACATAAGTCCTGTGATGTTTTGGGAAGTGCTGTAAAACCCATCACTGAAACGGTATTTAAAGGACTAGAGAGCGGGTTAGGTCGTCCTGGTAATGTGTTTGAATATCGGTACCTTGCAGTTTGAAAAACAAGTTGTCATGACGATAGCATGAAATAGCAGTGGTATCAGTCATAACCACACAATCCTCGAGAATGAATGTGAGATAACTGAGAAAACGGATATTAAAAACTTGACACGAAGAGAAGGCCAACAGTGATGAACGCAGGAACATTCATTCGAAATTCAACTGGATGGCATGGCTCAGCTTTGCGGGCGTGGTCATTCTGTATAAGTTGTCTTTACTTGCATTAAACATATTATTCTATCTTTAGCCTAACCGTGTACCTTAGAAACGCTGAACATTACATTGCCGATTGTTACAATACGGTGAGCCATAAAAGGCAATTACGTGACTTCCAAGTAAGATCTCATAAATTCGATAGCCACATTGTGACAAAACTACAATTTCGCGATTAGTTCTGTTATTATGGGAGTTCCAGCGAAGTGAGTCCGTCCTTATTTTTGTAGGTAATCACGACGCTCAGTACGTTCTAAAAATACTGAATCCACATCCAATACAGATTACGATAGCCAGTCAATGAATCCACGGAACAGACGTACTACAACTTACAAATATCCCGATCAAACTTTAGGTTGTGGTCGATATAGGTTCTGTGAAAAATAATAATGGTTTTGGGGAGTTGGATACATCTAATGCGATGCTGATGGGTGCGTGTGTGTCCTGATGTGTAAGCATGCTTGCTTTAGCAGAAACTTCGTTAACTGTAGACAATGCTTTTCTCGTGATATCATCCATGTTATTCATTTTTCCCAGCCGTCTTGGAAAAGCAAAAGAGAAAGGTGTCTGTCAAATTTTGCGATAAGTCCCTCAATTGTGGAGGTTGATTTTCTCTTAATATCGTCCAAATTAATGAATTTAGCATTTCCACGAAATTGGTCGGTTAGAAGTTTCATAAGGGATGGCCAGTTTGTTCTGAACCATCTATAGGAACTTACAAGGCCGTTAAACGTGCATAATCGTTTTATTGTGGTCGGTTCTGGGTAGTCCAGAATCGCCGCCACCTTGCTTTTGAGAGGGCGGATGCCTTGAAAATTAAGTGTGTTCGAGAAAATTTAGGGAGTTGGTTTTGATTTGACATTTCTGAATGCTTACAGTAATACTGTGTTTTTGCAGTCGTTCAAAGACAAGGGCCAGATGCTGGAGATGGGATTCTTTGTCCGGACTTGAAATTGAGCAGTCATCAACATACGCATGTGCGAAGTTTAGACCTCAAAGCCATCATCGATGTCTGACACTCCGTGCTTGTAGAAGTCAGCTTAGACATTGTCGGGTAAAATGGTATTAGCTGAAACGAGGAACGCGAAAGGGTCTTGATCTAAACGAACTTGAAGTCTGTTCCGCCATGATGAACGTGGAGAATATCAATGGACGGGAAAAAAATATCCGAAAATATGGAAACAATATCACTCTATGCAAGAATAAAAATTAAAAAATGATATCTGATGTTCCGACAAGGAACAGACTCACATTTTACTGTTTGGTGTGCTTGATCACCAACCCAGTCAAACCAGAAATCAGAAGTGAAGGGTTTCTTAGATATATTTATCGATCCATCGAGAGGTGTTCGGTGCAAGCTGACTAATAGTTTCGAGGGATGCGTAGCACGGTGTGCCCACTCGTGATCTGGTGATGGTGCATGGCCTAGCGCTTTCAGCCTTTTGTGTCCAGTAAAACGAATGTGGTCAGCATGAATGTCGGAAATTTACAGAACAATTTATTTTGGGATTTATTTACTGCTGCAATTGGACTGAAGGTAACGTTATCACAGTTCTTAAGTTGCTTAGTGATTAGTTGGTGTCCAATATGTTCCTATTTTTCTCACTTTCCGAAGCAGAGAATTTACGAAATAATTCCACAAAAATTGACAGGCCTAGAACAAACTAATTGTCAGCTGACTGTCGATTTTCTCAACAAATCATCAAAGAATGGAGCTCTTTATCTCAACACGTGATTGAAGCTCCATCCTTCAAAAGGAAGTTGGATCATTTGAGAGGTCATCATTACCATGACGAACACAGGCCACATAGCCTTCTGTTCTTTCCAAACTGAAACTCTGGAACAGGACTTGATTAGTCAGTCCTTGGAACTTTGAAACACCAAAAGATATGTATGCACCTTAAATTCAATCATTCAAGGGAATACCAGGCATGTGCAAAAGCCTTTTAAAGATGAAATAACAGAAGTCCACTTTCTTTTATCCTCAAATTTAGAACTTGAATTTGAACGTCAACAATTTGGTGGTATTATAACTAGTACTCGCTACGGCGTTTTGTTACTGTTCGTGAGTGGTGCGTTAAGTAGGACTTTCCCATTAGCACCTTATCATTTCGTGAATGAGGACACTCCTAACTAAAATGCAGCCAATAAGTACCTCTTGGTTAGTATCCCCAAAACTGTTCCGATAAGCCTGATATGCTTAGTTGTTAAGATATCGGAGAGTATTTCAAAAATACGGCATATCAGCTTATTGATAAAAGGTCATAGTAATGTAGTAGCAGTAAGTGAGAAAGACTAAACATTAGGAATATTGTTTGAAAATATTGAGGAGAAAGGTCAAATTTCTCTTGCATTGTGTTTGCAGTGCGTAATGGACTGATGACAATGGAATCTCTGATTAATAACTGTTGGGTAGTTATTTTTGCCAGGCTTTTCCGTGATATCTGTCGAAAAATATTGAGGAGTATTGCGTCAAAACGAGACTATACCATACTTAGATTTATAGAAATTGCATCCATTAGAATATTCCTATTTTCCTGTGATGTTCAATCTCTTTTTGCAATTAGGTCAATCAAACATGAACAGTCTTATCTTTATTAGTGTTCCATCATTTAAAGATTATTTCTCTCTAATTTATGTAGTATAATAGCCCGAATAATCTTCATTAACCTGACCACAGTATTAGCTAGGCCAAAAAGGAGAAAGTTATTAACTGAACGTTTGCCATCATTTACTGTCTAGTCTCTTGACAGTCGTGAATGCTCCGGAGAAATCAAACAGTATTGGTAGTTTTTCGGCAGAGTAGTGGAACTAAGTGTACGTTTAAAGATAAACTAGGCTTTTTCAATTGACGATTTCGTGTCAATTGATCACTCAGCTTCTGCAACACTTCCATGGCCTAAATATGCACTCACCATACTCTTGGGAAGTGGGCTGTCAGATCGTAAACTTTCACAAGCTCTGAACCTGAGTGACAAAATCTCATGATCACCATTAGCTAGTTTTATGTATGAGTAATAAGTTCAATAAAGAAGATCCTTGGCTTGAACCAGGACATGTGGGATTGAATACATGCTGTTATAGACCATGCTTCATCACGATCACTGGTCTACTTTCGTATATTTCATTGGTTACAGAAGTGGATAGATCTTGTGAATTTATAATGGGAGTATTGAAATCTAACGCAAGGCGCCAGTTACATTTAATTTTTAATGTTGTACCGGTTTTCTGACTCCACTATGATGGAATCGATGATGTTAATGAGATGCAGATCCCATTTATTACGTATACACTATCGACAAACCCTGTCAACAACACTGATACTGAAAGTTAGCGAAAGTATTGGAGGCACATATATTTCAGACATTTGGTAGTTCAAATCAGTGACAAGAAACGAAAGTGAATCGAGGCGGTGGACGTAATAATTGGTGGGTGGAGTGGCCGAGTGGTCCAAGGCATCAGTTCGAAAGGGCGTGGTTTCGAATCCCACCTCCATCACAACCTTTGCCCCCAAATACCCTTGTACTGCCGAGAGTGGGGAAGGCCCGCTTTCCCTCTCGAAGTGCTCGCACATGGCCACGCGTATATGGCCTCTACCAGGGAGGTCCTACTCACTGCCTTCTCGTGGCGGGGGTGTTGTTTACGAAATTGAAAGGACGAAAAGCGAATGTCCGGCGCTTTAACCGGGTTGGTGGACACGAAAAGTCAACCTAGGGGAGTTGGCAAACCCTGATTCCAAGCCAATGGTGCACATGGGCTCCAGTATCCTGAGGGAACAAATGGCGTATGAACCAATTGTTGGTCACCGACTACCATAGGACTGCATCTCCTGACATTGCTTCACTGCCTTGTGGATCAGACCTTTAAGTCGAAGGCTCCGGGTGTGGTCCCCTAAGAAAACCACCTACTTCGGTTTGGGCGACCGAACAGTATCACAGCCGTCACACAAATCAAATGAGATTTATGTGGCCCATGCGTATATAATGGTCTTTTGTACCAGTATCTATGTGTTCAAACAAATAAATAATAATTGGTGACTCAGTCTTCATATAAAATGAATAATGTATGAATTAAGGAAAACCAATGATATAATTAACAGTCAAAGATGATAAAGTACGTATGAAAGTTATGAAACACCTGACCAAGTTAAAATAACAAATTTAATGGATGGAGAAAAAGTAAACTCCTTAGGGGTGTGGTAAGAGACTCTGGAAACCTACCAAATCGGGCAACGATAGATGATACCTAACATAAATGGGCAACCTTCTAAAGTAAGTTCACAACTAATAACGCCGTCGTCTTTGCGACATCTGTTATCATTTGTTGGGTTGTGGAACCTAGTAGTTTTGGAGTTCTGTCAGAGACCTGACCACCCGCCAGTTAGAGGCTATCCTCACTGTTTTGTCTCTAGGCCTCTAGTTCAACTAGAACCGTCATCCTTTCGTTGTTTCTTAACGTCATGTCAGGCTTTGTGCAAACGCCAATATAATCCCATTTAGCAGGAGATTTATTTGTTTCTTAGACTCTAAAAAGTCTGTATGACCGGAGGTCAACATTTTTATCTATCCTCTTATCATTAGTTTTTTTATATGTTCGAACTAAATTATATGGCAATGTTGCAAATAAGTACCCTGATTATTTTCCTTGTTGTGAACGTGTCCAGTCGAAATAATTGAAGTTAAAGTTTACCAGTTATACTTTTAATGTTATGAATTCACAGAAGCAAAGTTACTTTACAGTAAATATGAAAGTTATTGTATTTTTTAATATGCTTGAACCTTCGTCATATGTAGCCTTAGAGTTATTGTTTACCTTGACTCCCAAGTCACCGAGAACATTAATCTTCAGTAAATTAATAAAAGATCTGAAGAAAGTTTTCGGTACTAGAAAGCAAGGGGAGAGTGAGTGGGTGGTAATCTAATTTCATAGGGATCTTTGACGTGTGAACTACCTCACTAGACAGTTTTTGTTCAGATTCTATTCTTAAGTTATATGAATGACATACCGTGGTCTGTTCCATTGTTCTTAAATAGTGTTAAAATACAAGGAAATGTACAAATGAGGGATGATAAGACATGGTTACGGGCCTATCTAGACGTCTTTGTTGATCTGATGAGTCAATGGTGAGTAATAACAAGTGTTGTGCAAGTTGGTCACAGTGATCCTCACTACTGCACAATAAGTAGAACATCTTAACCTAAGATTAACGTTTGTGAGGACTCAGTAGTCGATAAAATGTACTATTCATTATCCATAATTCACATATACGTAAACTGTAATAAGTTCATATGTAAGTTCTACAGTTTTTACTATCGTTGCATTGTTTTAGAATGCTTGACATAACATCACACGTTTCAAAGTCATCTTCAATGTAGCTTACCAATAAGACATTCTCAAGATGCTAATGTTTGTAATATGATTAGAGAGACTAACATATCGAATCTAACTCTTAGGACGATAATACCACTTTCGCGTTTTCCTTCTAATTTCTGTTTTTATTTAGGTACTCGTGTTATTACTAGCCTTGCATGATGATTCTTTTCACTGGATGGGATCTCGTTCCATACTCCAACCTTTTAGAAGTCCAGAAAGAGGTGTTCGAATACTTTGCAGACTTGAGATGTATTGCAAAACCATCGAATCCGCATTGTAAATCTAATGATGTGCCTGATATTGATCTCATATGTACATGGTAAGATTGGTTACATTAATTAGAAGCATGTAGTTTTATCAAACCAAAATATGGTATCGCAGCCACTGATGTTAAACTTTTTAAAGAGCTTCTATTAAAAATAAGTTCAGTAGATGTAGATAAATCTGGTCACTCAAAGAAAAGAGAAATGAATAGACTTCAAGTATGTATATATACAAAATAATTGTGTATTTATTTGTGAAGAAATTGCATTCACTTATTTTGCAGGCTCAGATTTCGGTTCAAAGACAGTTAGAGTTAGCCAATCCTTGTTCACACAATGGTTTAACATTGACAAATGAAAAACAACTGATGGAATTACAAGCAGAAGAACAAACTCTTCATATAAATACACTACCTAGCTTCTACAAATTTAGGGGCACTACTAAAAGTGTTACAAACTTCAGCACAATAACATTTACGTGTATTGATTTTCTTCAACGAGATGTAAGTTGTCAAATATTTTAATTTCGTATTGTAATCCCTAAATAGTCTTTTATTTATAAGGTACCTTCAATTGAAATGCTCTCTGTGAATAAACAAATTGATACGGCTTATTATTTTGAAAAGGTAAGTCTTTTAATAACTTCGAAAATTTCCGATATCAGTTCTGTACTCTTGTTTGTATTGTGCTGAGTGTTTTGAGTGGACGCTGAGAAAGGCGGTAACCTGGGAGGCCGGTAAAAGTCAAACAACTAGTTTCTATAAATTGTCTACATAATGTTTATGTCATCATACATTTGGTTTTTTATTTTGAAATAGAGTCTATTTTGATGTGAGATATTAGCTGAAGTGGGTTTAGTAGAGCTAAACAGGCTTCTTAATTTTCCTTTTATTGTCGTCGCAATGTCGTCACCTTTAAATTCAAGTTGAATGAAAATAGCTTTCTTGTCTGCTGTTTTACTTATTTAGGCGTTTTGTCTTTTCCCATACTTTTCAATAAATTTCTTTGGATACCCCTGCCTAAGGAGCATTAGGTACCCAAAGTTTATTGAGAAATATTGGAAAAGACAAAGCGCCTAAAGAAGCCATAGCAGAAAAAAACATTTACATTCAACTTGATTTTAAAGGTGACGACGTTACAATGACAACAAACAAGATTAAAAAGCGCACTGACCAGAAGTGATCCTTCAGCCAAACTGATTATTTTGTATAAAGCGGTGTGGTCCTTACTCCAATTGAAGATCGATAGGTACCACTCACATTCTACCGCCAACTGCAAATACAAATTTACATGTACCTGTCAGAACAGTTACATTGGTAGAATAGTGGGAAGGACCTGCGTTCGATCCTAAAAACATATCCCAAGAAGTCTCAGGTCAATGGGATTTAAGGCTTTTAGCAGTGCTATCGCTAGACATCTCTTCAATACGGTATCGAGTTGATAGACTGAAATCTTTCAGCATTATTAATCGACAGTCGGATTTCGTTCTCTCTGAATTAGCTGAAGCCATAGCCATCGAACGACTAAACCCGGACTTATGTATACAAAAGGAAACAGTCGCAAATCTTTCCTTACCATGGTGAATATTTTGTCAGTTTATTACATAATATTTGCAATTGTTCTCCCTCCCTTCTGTTTTAATTGTATTACTTTAGAAGTCATAAACTTATTTTTTAACTGACTGATATTAACTCATGTCATTCTTAATTGTTATTAATTTATGTTCAACTACTTCAGCTAATTATTTTATCTCTATGATCTTTTGTTACTGTATCTGACGATCTAGGATCTTTCACACATGTTTATGTACGACACTCACTGTATATCTTCACTCAGCACCCCACTATGGTGTCACTTATCCACTTTTACTGTTATAAGTATGTAAACTTTTCAATAATTTCGATTTTAAATATTATACTATAAGCAGCTGATGAGAACCTAACGGAATAAACTGAATTTGTGTTATTCTGTTCAATTCTTTGTTCTTGCTCTATTCAAAGTTTGACAAAATTTAGATTAGGACCTAGAAACCTGGTCATTGGGATGTGCTAACGAGATGGACGTAGCAACTGCATTTGTGAACTGCTGGATACTGTTTCATTTCACTTGAATCACTGGTAACAAAAATCCTGGGGTCAGTGAAACAGTTTGTGAATTTGATGACATGCCAATAAATTACTCTTAAACGCTGAGAATAAAGTGTCTAGGCGGGGTTTCACTAGTTTGTTGTTCCTGCGACGTCAGTCGAATTGTCTCATGGTCCCTAATCGGTAACTAGGTATTCACTTGATGAGGCTTGAGATCAGTAACACCCTAACATATGAGGGATAACGTTATGTGCATTAAATAAATAGAGAAAAATTGTGGTACCACGAGAATATTTGCAGGTATTTAACCGTTTCTGTGTTTACAGTGTAACCTATCATTTAAGGTTAAAATGACCCTTAATATTTCACACTCGTTATTTTAACTACGACGATTTTTCCAATTTGCAATGTTTTGTTTTGGAGTCAAATGCAGACTTCAATCTTTGAATCTGAATCTACTGGTACGTCACTGTGAAGCATTGTTGTGTTACCTGACTCGTTTGAGTTGTTATGGAGACATATCCTTTTCTAACGATGGTATTGATTTATACATGAGCAGATTATTGGTCAGCTAAAAACAAGGAGCTGTATTGACTGGTTAAATTGTCTTTAAATGACGAAGACTGGTAACTGTAGTGTTCGATTGACTCACTTTGCTAGACTGATTTGAGTTTAGGTAAGTGTTAGTTTGTATTCCATATTTACAGACGTATGTTACTGATGATTATTTAAGGTAAAAACCTAAATCCATAACTTTCTGATTATTGAATACCAATACTTGTTCCTTAGAACAGTCTTACTTTTCAAAGCATTTTGTCATTTTACTGTTTTTGTATGCAATTAAAATGTATTCAGCTGTTCGTATTTTTCTTAATCAAAACAGATGCTTCCATTTCCTACTTCCGTGTACAAACAAATTCATCATTCAGTTGAATATGTGGTATTGTTAACTGAGAATGTATTGAATTTTTTATTTCTTTTGAAAGCACTGGTTGGTGTTTATGTACCATTTGATGTGACTGTTGAAAATTCAGGTAATATCAAGTGGATTTTTAATCTTTTTTTGTCTTCATAAGAAATGATTATTTTTTTTAAAAGGACAGTTCTCTCCGCCTAATTTTACCATCCAAACACTTAGCATCTATTTTAAATGCTTCGATATCAGTCTCTTATTCTGATCTGCTTTGATCTGTGTACGACTTCATGTACACGAATGATCTTTCTTTTCAACTTCATAGGGATCGGTAAATTGCATTTATCTCAGGATAGGAGGTCCATTCTAATTTCACCCTGGAAAAATATAAAACTAATCCCAAATTATGAAAAAATGAAGCACATCAAAACACTATAATTTTCCGTTACGTACACCTAACCACCACCTACCTCGATGGGCGACGTTTGTTGACGTTAAAGTGGGTTGGAAGAAAGCTATGGGGAGCTAAGCCAAGACGTGACAGCGGTCTCTGAAGTCTTTAGGTGTCGATTTAAGCTATTTTGGTAGATGCAGACTACCTGGTTGCAGTCCGTGCGGTAACCATGGTCAGTGGTTGGAGAATATATTTCTAGACTTTTATGTGAAAATTTTCAGATTGTGCAAAAGTTTCGATCATTTGCAATGTAGAAAGAAAGCATGCTTTCAGGCTTATTTCATGTTTGTGTATTGTTCAAACCACTTTTATTTTGAACTCGATTTCTATTAATTTCATTCTTCATTTAATTTGAAAATAAACGTTGTGATGATAAAAAACATTTGTAGCTTTGGATAATAATTTTGTTGAGTTCTCTAATTTGAGTGATTCATGCGCATACAGATATTTAGTATAATTAGAAGCATACACATTTAGGACTAATTCTTTCTTTCTCTCTTCTTTGAAGTTGAAAATTATGAAGTATCGTAGTTCTTCTACTTATCTTGTTTTCCTTGGTTATTATTTTTGTTACTAGAATGCTAGTTTGTATGTGTGTCATCTGTTCTACATGTTACCAAACTCTCGACTGTATTTCACGGTTATTGAATCATACAGATTAGTGTTCTATTATTAGATGATGAGTATTTCCATTCCGTCTAGAATTTGGCTAATCACTGATTCAGTCAGAAGTAGCGTAGAACCCTGAATATACATGCGACCACCTAACTTCTCACAGCGAAATGAAGGTCTCAGAACAAATACCAAGGTAGTGTAAGTGGTAGTGGTATCAATTATAATTATAATATTAGGCAGAGAGAATATGATTCAATAAAGGGGAATAAATTGACGGAATAAAAAGTGTAAGGTTGTTAACGGGATATAGATTGAATTACAGCACCTTTCACGCAGGATTTTGTTGGAGCCATGCTGACTGATCTATTTTTAGTCAATTACCCCTAGCTGATAAATGGAAAAGATTCTAGAATCCTGTATAAAATTATGTATGTACTGATGTCTTTCTTATTGTAATTCTCTTCCAATCAGCGTGGTTTATTTGGGAACATAATTACTTTCTTGTCTAAGCCGTGTTTTTATCCTAGGGACTAGTGAGGTAAAGTGTTCAACGAATATTAAACAACAAGGGTAGCATAAAAACACTTTATAAAGGTAATTGTGAAGATGAAAATGTAAGGGAAACCGAAGAGTAAATGCATCTGCACTATTTTTAACGATTCTGAGCGAGTTCATTTATCTGACTGTTAGACACTGATGAAAGCTTGTACACCTCATAAATGTCCAACCAACTGTCTGTCTAGGATCATTAGGATAATAGTTAGGTTATAAAATTATGTAACATCCTACCAACCAATGATAGCTAATTTGGCCTAGTGTAGGCATATCTGGTTTTAAAAATATTGTGATGTCTAATTATAGAACATTTAAAACTATTAAATTGTCCAAAATCCACACTATCTTCTGTTTTATTGTTTCTCCACAGATACATCTTTCAGTCGAAAGACTATCCAGTTTGGAAATATCATATTAACAAGTCCATTTTCTCCAAGAGTTCGCGCTCGTTTGTTTTATGAATCTTTGGTAAAACAACTGTGTTTTGAACACATCTCGGGTGATCAAGTACATAATATTGTTAGTTTAATTCCTGGTTATTATGATTCGTTTTTATTTTAAACGACATTTGTCGCTCTGGTTCACAGTTCAAACCACAGTAAATTAAGTTGGTTTTAAGCCCATAATCCATTGATTGCAATTCACTTATAAAATATGACACATGCTTCTGAAGTACACTTTTGTGATGAAGGTTCATGATAAACTTGACTGGTTGAAACACATTCAAAAGAATACTATTTGAACGTGCAATTTACTGACTAATAGTTGAGTGCATTAATCACTAAGCTAGTTCACTTTTATTGGTTAAAATGTAAGTGACCCGTTCATGAAGTCATAGTTCCAATAAACTTGCAGTAGTATCATGTCTATGATATGTTATCATTCAGTGGAACGTATAACCTAGACTGATAAACAAATAGTCAATCAGACAATATATCGTAGTAGGCTTTACAAAAGACAATCAACAAAATATAGGCAGGAGAAAATATTTGAGTGAACTGTAAAACAAGCCGTTTTGGATTTTCTGTACAGATATAATTGACTAACTGATTTGTAAGGGTTTGTACTTCCCCGTTGTCGGTGTTAGCGACTACAATTGATCAGTTTCATTTAGCATATGTAGTTGGTGAACGGATTTCCTCAATATTATCATTAATTTGCAGGTTTTTAATAAAGTTGGCCAGCAGTGGAACCCCGGAAGTGCGTTTCTTCAGTAGGCTGTATCATCATCCATGTTGATGTTTACACATCTGAATTCTAAGTTAGTATCCTTCATTTCAATCGCCCAATGTAGCATTCACTTAGTTACTCAGTTCAGATAACCACCAGCTTATTCAAAGGGATATGAATTTTATGTGTAAGTGTTTGTATTTTTCAGCTGTTGGTTTTTCGTCATAATTAGAAACGCGTCTCCAAATATTACCCTCCTGACTTTTTAAAGGATCCTAAAAGTCAATCTTAAAGTATCTAGTTAATTCTGGTCACTATGCTTCACAAAAAGCCTCCTCCAACATCATACACACTGTCAAGAGTCGACTCAAGGGGAAAGCATATGGAAATCTTATGTATAGCTCAAGCTATCCACTACTTCAAGCCTATTATTTGAGTACAAAAACAGTATGTTTAGTCACTCATTCCTTCAGGGTTTTCACCTTCCTTTCTATAATCCACCGTTTTTTATTTCTACTTCTCTCCAATTATTTCCACAACTATCAACTAACCATTATTACGACTTTTCATCATTCTGTTTTTAATAGCTATCAAATGGACACTTCACCTTAAAATTTCTCACTAGCTAATTATTACATAACTTCCTTTCAGTATTTGATTTCTTTAAACCATTCACGACAAAATACTGTAGTGTTTAGTACTATGTCAAACCCACATAAGTTATTTTAGCTTCCGGATAGACTAACTTATTCTTATTAGGTCACATTTTGACTATCTCACTTATTCGCTTATTAACCTTGAATGATTTTATGTGAGCATATGTATGTGTATTGCTTATCCTATTCATCACATGTCTGTAGTTTATTTTTGTCTGTTTATAGATATTGAGTCATGCTTTATCAAAATGAGTTGGCACACTTGCCTTCTCCAATCTGCTCATCCGCTTCGTTTCTCTGATTGTTTGTCTGGATTATACGTATGTCTGGAATATACGTGTTCAAAATTCATCCCCTTATTTAACCTATTTTATTCCGTTATTCCCTAACCTGAATTAAGTCGATAATTATGTACGAGGATAGCCGAGATGTATATTTCGTTTACATCGTTGTTCGATTAAATTGTAATCAAACCAGTGGGCCATGGGATATACCCAAGTTTTTGTATTACTCAAAACCGTGTAATACAATTCTTAACTGATAAAATTAACTAAAGATGCGATTGTATAGCTTGAGTAAATGAAACCGTTGCAAAGAAGATTTCACCGAATTTTCTTTATTTTTTAATGATACACTAGGTCTCTTTTGTTATTTAAATAAATAAATGCTAACATTGTGTTTTTATTTTGCTAAAGACCTACCTATATGTAACATTTAGGCTGCATTGACTATTCCTTTTCCCATGTTTTGTCTTTTAGGAGCAATCAAAGTGTGCTCTCACTATAAATACAGTTGTAGAAAAGATTAATATATCTAGTCCACGTACACTTCGATCATCCACTAAAGCTCAGGAATATGATTTATCCGTCAATAAATTGGATCCAACAGAGGTGTTAAGTGATACTGATGATGAATTGAGGATTGATTTAGATGAACAGAATAGTGATGATCATAGGTAGGATACATACGTAATATATATCCATGATTGCGAGTCCTTTTCTCTTGTGGTATTTTGATGGCCTATTTTTAATCCGTTTTAATTATACTACTGACTACTATCAAGTAACACGTCTCGCTACACTTTTCTATAACTTCATTTTACTTGATTTTGGGTTTTGCTAATACTGCTTATGTATCAGGATAATGAAAATGTTATACTGTAGTTTTACCCCCCCCCAATGTGCTTGATATTAATTTTTTTTCAATTTAGTACAATTTCCATGTTCCGGTTCATATTTCTTTTACACTAACTTCAAAATTCTGTAAACTGGTATTTGACTGGTAAATCTAGCACACTATACCATATTATATTCGAACCTTGTGGATCCTATGAAATAAAATGTACTACTGTTATTTTTCAAATGTATATATGCAATATGTAGTTTTATGAAGAATAAAAGGCTAGAGGCGAAGAATTTGGTATGCATAAAAGCAAGATAATAGTGGTTATTATTCACATATGATTTTGTAGTTTTGAACCAAAGTTTATATTTTATTCTAATGTTTGAAAGTATAATGAATTTATTGACTATGCGCTTGTAGTTCACAAACATTATTCTTATCCATTCAATATGTTTATATATATATATATATATATATATATATATATATATATATATATATATATATATATATATATATATATATATATATATATATATCAAAAAACAGTAAGAAATATATACCTTATGCTTTCTGTTTCATAATTTGTGTTTCGGCTCACTTATCAAGTAATTATTATTGTCTAATTTTATTATCTTTTTTCAGTTCTAAAAAGTTTAGTTCATCGATTTGCGATCCTGGAAACGTAGCTAGTTTTTGTACAGTTGTTGAAAGATCCACTAATAAACAACAAGAAAATACAAATAGCCTTTCTGTCATCGACTTTTCCAGTACACCAGCTTCACCAACTGATGAGACACCTAAAAGTCCGTGTTTTAATCAAATCATAGAATCAAAGTCCATTATTCATTCTCCTAGTAGGTTTTATATATATTTAACTTTGTTTTCCTGCTATTACCCAAAATTTCTTAGCAATTATTCTACTTTGATTAATTCAACTGAAAAATTAATATTTACATGTATCATTATTGTTATGGATAATTTCTATAAGTAATTAATGTCATAAAATAGTTTATAACATTTTATCTCAACAGTTTTCAATAGTATATATATATATATATATATATATATATATATATGAAGGGAGAATATTAACAGCTCATTAGTTCAACCAGATCTTTGTTCAGAAGCACTTGACCCTTTTTGTGTAGAGGTAGTTTTTACATTGCTCAGTCGCCCATCACTCATAACCCTTACATTGTTCTGTGTGTAATAATATGACACATGTATTAATTTTATCACGGTCGCATTAGTAATGAGTTCAGTGTTATAGTCGTACTTCTTGACACCCTTAATACGACTACTTTTTAGTGAATTGAATATAAACTTCCTATGAGCAAATGCTTTAGTTTGACTCCATCCTACAGTACATTCTTAATATCCCGTAATGTCTATTATGTGATTTAACAACACCATTCTATCACTGATGATTTATTTTTTTCGTTCCTAATCTTCATTCGTTTTGTTTGTTAAAGTACTTAAGGTGATTCAATGCGAATTCAAGAGTTTAGTGAATGTAGATAATCTCTCTTCCTTACTCTTGCTCCAAATATCCTCGTTAGGTTTCTCAAGTTTGTAAACAGAAGTATGGCATTATAGCTTATGTCAGTTTGTGATAAAAACCCCAATCCTAATTTTTAAACCTAAATCAAAACTCCATTTTAACTCTTAATACCGAACCTTATGCGTTTCGCATCATGGCTGATATCAGCGGGTGAAAAAACCACTACGGGATTCCGACCCGAACTCACAACACTGGCCTGACTTCTTATATCTAAATTTAACCTTTTTCCTTTACGGCAAGGTATGATTAGATGTGTGAAGGTTAATTATTCAGATTAAGGGTGTTATTTCATTACTTTGTACTGTTGATTGTTTTACAAGGTGGTGCTTTCTGACTGGCTGATAAGTCGCCCAAGGTCATCAGAATAATATACTTTTACCAAATTTATATTGGAAAGAAATTTTCTTTGCTGTATGACTTAATGTGGACATTTTTCCTTCAGTTAGTTAGTGCCCACTGATAACTGTTATCGTTATATTTCTAGGCAATTGTTTTAAACTTCAAAAGATACTACCATTTTTTGCTTGAATTAGTTATATTGATAGAATATTAAAATTATGGTGATTAAATAAAAAAAAAGAAACTCCCGTGTTATAGATTCTTCACTTATCTATCAATGTTGAGTAAAACAGTAATACAAGCATACTGATGTCATTGTAGCTATATTAGTTAGCTTTTTATAATGACCATCCAGTTGGTACAGTACTGTAATTACTTGTTGCTATAGTTGGATAAGTTAATAAATTAATTGTGAACTGATAGGAAAATACCTAGTGGTAGAATTCTAACTTTCTTGCTTCACATTACATTCATACTATTGAGCAAAACTAGATAAATTTGAAATAAATCAGTTCATGAAGCATTAAAGTGAACTAGCGTAAGTGGTTAAAAACTGTACTTTATCTGTCCAATTACTTAGACTTATGATGACTGATAGTTGAAATGGAATTATTTTGGTTAGTTGGGTTTTCAGACAATATTTTTGTATTTCAGACCATTGATTATTTAGTCTGAGAAATACTGATTTTCTCGTTGTTGATATATTGAACACTGTTGGTTAGGATTCGTAACTAAATTAACTTGAATCAACACAAGTGTCCGTTATTTTTTGGAATTATATTCTTCTGAAAACTGATATTTTGTCTAATTTTTGAAAAGAAGATATATCTCAGCCTACAACAACAATTGTTATTCCTATTTTAATAACTATGCTTAAAATATATCTTTTTGTTATTAGTTTGATTCTATCATGTAAATGAATGACACTTTTGATCTTATTCTTAGGTCCACAAATAATTCCTCTTGAGCCTGTCAAAATTACTTGTGAATTATCTCAAGATTTATCACCATCGGAAACAATTAGTCCTTCAAAACGAGTAACGTCCAACTCTTCTACATCAAACAAAATAAATAAAACAGAAGTTAATCAGGGTAAGTAATTTTCGTAATTTTAATAACTTACTATTGTTATGGATTTCACCATTTTAAGGCGACAGTTTGCGTGAACTTACTACCGATATGTTTAGATTTCTTTCATAGATGTCTCAAGCAGTGAGCCATAAACAATGTTAACCTGACATAAATATACATCAGCCAAAGATACAATACATTTAATCAAGACACTGAGTAAGTAGATTTAATACGACTCAGGTTAACAGTTACTAGCTCTACAGTCTGATATCGTTTCTCGATTTCGGTTACGCCTTGCCTTTTTTTTAGCCATCCCATATCTTAATCAGTTTTACGAGTCTGGAGAAATGCTGACTTGGTATACACATCATCTGTGTAAATCACCTCAATTGATAAAGCTTCATAGCCTTAACAGCATCAGACCTAATCGAAAGGTTTTTCACACCGTAAATAGTAGTCAAATTCCATGATGTCCGTGCGGACAATCTACCTTCCAGTATGGTATCGTACTGAAAAGGTATTTCCCGACAGACTAATAATTTAGTCAATGGAGGCGCGAATCTTGTCCTTCATAAGTTGACGAGTATGCAAACTTCCACATCCCCGTAAGTCCAACATATCCTGAGTGTTACGGATAACAACCTTTTTAGAGACCCCCTTGATCAATTTGTAATAACTTGTGTGGAAATAGTAGCTAACTTGCAGAAACGAATGAAATGCATGACGTAGAATAAGACACTTTCGAAGAAATTCTAAAATTATTTCGATGAGGTCTGATGTTTCTCTGGCTACAAATCCGAAGACTTCTGGCATATGGGGCATCAAATGATACTAACTGATAGATTGGGGTTTCCTCTTTATTACATTTATAGGTACTGTCACTTCCTACAATATCCGTAAAACGGCATGCTATTTTCTTCTGATCTGGTGTGAGGAAGAAATAGTACTGCAGTAGGAAGTTTTCATTTAAAAAAATGATGCTAGTCATCACATAGTATTATACTCTTTATTATCTTGAGCTTAAAATATTGAGTTTTATATTAGATTTTAAATAAATTCAGTATATTGTTTGAAGTTGATATCGATACGTATATCAATCTTGTTCTCTTAAATGTCTAGATCGCTGTCTATCGGTTAAATCAAGACCGAATTCTAAAAATGATGAAAATTTCCATATTATTCGAGTAGTTTGTGATTTCATTAATGTTTTTTGTCAAATTAGTGTCTACTTGTGAAACCAACCATTATTATTCAAATCTATAAAGTAGGAGTCAACACAATTTGTCACTATTTGATACTACTATGATTTGAAAAGCTCAAAATAAAAAAAATTTAATAGGAACGATTTTATGTGATTCGAATATGTGAAGGCATATACGCAGAAACCATGTTTACAATTTACGATGGGTGGCGGTGATTTCAAGTCATTTGCTTACTCTTGTTGTCTCTTTGTCATCTTAACAAATTTCATCTTTTTCCGTAACCAAATCTGGGACTACTACTCGGAAAGCTAAATCAAAAGGATTGCTTGCGTTACTCTATTACTTGGTGATAATTTAGTACCATTTTGTTAATTCATTAAATATAGGACCTATTTTAGCGATTGAGTTTTTGTGTGATCACTAAATTAAGTGACTTGACGTTGTGATCCACTTTTTTTATGATAGATGTAATGGACTAGATAAAATTCTATACAAGGCAATAAGTAAACATAATGATAACTGCTGCCCACTAATCGACTAGTATGATCGATCTATCATTGTCTGAATAGCATGCCTTCTTACTATACTGGGTACACAGGTTTCGGTTTGTTTATTTTTGTAGTTACACGCTGCTGACAAGCAGCAATATTTAATTCTTCTGTCTCTACATTTTAGATTAATAATCTTGTGTCACAATTGTTATCACTGTCTTGAAATACTCAGAAGTTCTAAATTCTTATCTGAGCCTGTCAGTTATCAATGAGTTATAATTAATGTTTATGTGATATATGGGGGCCGTTTGCGAACGGTTTATTCAAGAGCTATGAACTTGCATCTTACCCCTATTGATTTATTTTCAGTCTGAAACAAATTTATTGTCCCTCGGGTCTATAAAATCAACCAACTTAGTTCCTCAATTACATTTAATTACAACTGAACTAACGAAATCAGTTTTTTCATCTACAGGATTGAACTATTTGACAATCTTAAAAATAAAGTATGTTGTGCTCTGTGTAACTCAAACTAATTGACGATGTATTGATTAGTTGGACGACAAATATTCTCAGGAAGGTTTTTATGCATTAAACTATCTTAATATATGATATGCTTATGATTGTATGTTTTATTTTTTACTAGTTTATCTTATCACCACGATTTTTGTGTTTTCCTTTTAGAATCAAACCAAAACTCAGTTAAGGCGTATTCATATTCCTCTTTAAAATTAGGAAATAAAAATTTGTTAGTTCAATTCTTCGATACAATATGGTCGAATAATGAAAGTTGTCAAGCTTGCAAAACGTCACCTTCTGATGGGCAATGTCCACTTTGGCCTTCATGTAACACGCGGAATCGGACAAACAGCATGGTGGATGATGAGTCTAAAAAAAGTAATGTGAAGGTATGCAGTAAACATTCTTTTTTTAAAAGTTGTAATTAAAGTAATGTCTCAGTAAAGGCAAATGATATTATGCTCATACTGTGTTCACCACCTTTTACGTCATTATTTGTATGATACTTCTAAGTTTGTGTAAATATGATACTGAATGGATTACACTCGGAAGATGATCCACTTTCATGGAATGAACCTTGAATAATTTATTTTAAACTCATACAGCTACTATGTATAATTGTATTTACGGCATCTGAAAATTGTGTAGTTTATTAATACCAAGATATAAGTAAATCAGTAGGCTGAAAATAACCTAAAATGCAATGGAATTAAAGTGCACATAATGTGAAGATATTGACTAGAAAATTGCTGAATTCGAAATTATAAATAAGTAAATTAAAAAATTTAAACTTAATGATCCACAACATGGCTGTATATTGTAAATTCACTTTTATGTTCTAATTATCACCACATTTTGTTGAGTTATAATGAATATTCTTAAAGAAATTGAATTCAATAGACAAGGTAAAATCGAATAAAACACACTTAATATTTTCTATTAGCTTACATACTAGGTTTAGATTCATATACTTGGTTTGAATCACATAGTATGAGGGCTATTGATACCATCCAGTTTCCTAAACAGAAGTGAAAAGGGTGTTCGAATCTTCGACATAGCGGCTGAAAGTTGGAATCTCCAATCATTGAGCTACTGGTTCTCATACATCATCCGAAGTTTTTCCTTAATATGATTGTCCTAAGTTTGGTTGCATTGTTTGTCCTTCTTTCCTTCCAATTGTATTATGATTTATGGTGAATGGAGCCAGTAACTTTGATATTTCATTTGTTGTTTATATTTTTTTATTTATCGGTTGTCTATAGCATTTTGAAGTTTACAATAAAATTCCTTGTTATTAAGTTCTAATTTTTATTAGTATAAGCCTGAATGATAGCTAAGCAACGTGTATATCATGTCAAAGGATTATTGTCTCGAAAGTTAACCTACAACTGTATTTCGTCTAATATGTATGCGCGTTCGTGTCGGGTAGAGACTGGAATCTACTTCAGTACAATTGGAGATGGTCGCACGATTTCGTGGTTTCGTTGAGGCTAGACATTAACGCCGTTGAATGCTGGCTCGGTGGTTTAGAGGTTAAGCGTTCGCGCGCGAGATCGTGGATGAGCACTGCTGATGAGTCCCACAATAGGATGAAACGGCCGTCCATTGCTTCCAGGTTTTCAATGGTAGTTTAACATCAATCGGTTCGTGACCTCAATCAGAAAATTAATAATCTCCACAATCCCATACTGATAATATGTGATGATTGGAAAATTTCTGAGAGAAATTGGTCATCCACAAAAATTTACTAACAAATACTTTAGGCATGTGATAAAGTGTTAACCAGCAAATTTCAGTGCATACTAAACGCTTGAATTATAAGTATTATTTTGATTTAAAATATATGTTTTGTTTCCAATTCGTTAGATGGTTTCGTCTGATTTATGAATCATATACTCGCGCAAAGTAAAGATACTTTATGTGCTTATTTCCGCCCTTTGATGTACTGTACTCTTGTGACTTAGACATATAAATCCTAATCAATAGATTGATTTCGAAAGCTTTGTCCAATTCATTCTGACAACATTTTGTTATGTTACAGTATGATTCGGTAATCACACTTAATCAGTCAAGGTTAAAGATACTTCACTGGTTGATTTAGCTTGAGTACTCCATCATTTATGACTTATTGATCAAAAAATGAATATGTAGTTTTATTGCGGGTGTAGAAAATTCAGATGCAATTTATCAGGAAGAAAATCACTATTGATTCAAAGTGAATTTAAAGTTGATTTTCAATATATTTTACGTCACATAAATCTTTGCTTATAAAAGCTTGTGAATTAAGGCAATATCGAGGCATACGCACAGTATGCATATATGTCAATAACAGACTGATCGATTGCGGTCTTAGACCTCAATGGAAAGTTACAAGCAAAACAATATCAAGTGAATTTAAATTCACCCCATTGCACAAGCAACTGGCTACCAGGACTCAGTAGCTGAGTGGATAACGTGATGGCGTTTGAAGCGAATGGTACTGTATTGAAGTCCCAGAGTGAACATCAACTCTGAGATGCAGGTGCATCCAGCTGACGAGTCCCAATTAGGACGAAACGCGCCTCCTGGATTCCACTGGTCGCCACTATCCATCTTTGCTTATAAATCTTTTTGTTTATCATTTTTGTCTCCTTTAATGCAAACAAGTTTTATAGTTCCTATAATCAAGTTATTTCTCATGTTTTCCGTAATTTTTATTTATTTATTTTGTCATATTTTATAGCCTATTTGTGTTCAAATCAAACCGGAGTATTTAGGTGATTGGGGCTGTGAAATGCTTGAAAATCAAGAATTAGAACTTTCTTGGTTGGGTTCATTTATAAGAAATAACTCAGATATTTTAAGAAGTGAGTACGATCATTGTGGTATTATGTACACGTATATGCATACATCAAGTTGATGAGTCCCAAATAGTATGACACGCTCATCACTCCATTTCACTGCTAACCATTATCCAAATTTATTAAGTAATGATTTGTTGTTGATATTTTATTATCGTTCTGACCTAATCTTCAGTTTTACTGACTATTTAGTGGTATCATATGAAAATATCCCGAATGCCCTGGTATGACCAAGGGTGGGTAGAGTCTGCCCTCCATCTCGAAATGCTCTCATATGACCACGCGCATAATGTAGCCATTGTTAAAGAGGTTCTACTCACTGCCTTCTCACGGAGTGGTTATTATTTACCAAATCAAGAGGACGAAAAAGGAATTTTCGAGGCCTAAACTGGGATTGTGGGTATGGAGGACCCACCAAAAGAATTCGGAAAATCCTATTTCCAAACCACTGGTACACTTAGGCGCCAAGACCATAAGTGGACAAATGTCGTATGAACGTATCCTTGTTCAACGGCTGCCATGGGACTTCATCTCCCAAAGTTGCTTTACTCCCTTATGGATTAGACCTAAAGGTCAGAGGCTCGAGGTGTGGTCCCCCAAGAAAATCACCTTCGGTTCTGGCACCCAGCCAACACACAAATTCAGTTATTTATATGGCGCCTGTGTAATTTGGTGCCCCTTTGTACCAATAATCGTGTGTTTAAATAAATAAATAAAACTATAGAAAAGAATTGTGTTGACTTCTTCATTTTTTGTTTCATAATTTAGGATACAGCAGTGACGCAGAGATACGTTTTTATTTTCTCTCTCCATATTTCCTTCACTTGTTTTTATATGTTTTACTGGACACTACTTAATGATTCTCAGTAGGTTGTGAATGCTCAATCATTTTTGTACTGTAGCGCATACAGATAACAGGCTTTTCCAGTCCTTTCTTATGTAGTCTGGCTAAATGTCATAAAAATAAAAAGTTGGAGAAGGTTTACTACAGACGCATGATGTTTCTCTGTTGTCTTATTTTTATTTTTTCCAATTTTCAGCAGTATTTTTTGCTCTCAGTTTCTAGTCTTCTTAGTTTATAACATTTTTTTTTGAACTACTTGATATTACCTCTTGATGTAACTACATGTTATTTCTTAATTTTTAATAAACTTCATATTTCTGATTTAATGGAATTATTTGATGGAACTTTCCATTTGACTGTGGTTCTGGTGGGATATTTAATACAAAACTATCTCCAAACAAACTGATGTGAGTGCTCCAACCCTTAATGAGGTTGAAAACTGTTATAAGTAATCTAGAGCGATAAAGAACACCAGGGCCTGATGGACTTATTCCTGAAATTTTTAAGGATGATCGAGTTTTAGGAGTTAAGTGCTGTTAGAGATATGAGAGCAGTTATCACTTCCCGGTTACCCACACCACGGAAGGGTTCTTCTGAAAGTACTTGGAAAGGAAATTGTGTTAGGAGCGGTCTTACTAACCTGAGAGCGTAACCTCTGTACCCAAGGGTTAACTGCTTGAGGCAGGTCATACAAGACCTTTTTGTGAGTAATTTTCTTGCTGGCTCCGTACTTATTGGAACCTTACCGCTCGAGACGGATACCCGTGGGATAAGGCGAGGTGTGCATTTTTAGGGTCGACCTTTTCTTACCCTACCCCTCCTTGTGGGAAGGCAGCATCGCTGTTATGCTGGTTGTCTGAAGAAAACACCTTACTACCGTCACATACCTGTACAGTCAGCAGTACGACCTCACCTTCGGACCTTGGGCTTACTGCTTTTAGTCTTATCGCTCTTCAACTGCCCTGTTTGGTATGGTAGGACCTTGAGGAACGATTGTTCAAGCCAGTATAGCTCGATTGGTTCATCATGATAGGCAAGCCCGTTCACCACGGTCGGCTTTTGCCAACTTGCGTCACTTTCGGTGTAGGAGAGATATCCGTCTTCTAATCAAAATGCGAATTTTCTGCACGACAGTTCACTCCGTTCTACTTTATGGATGTGAATAATCGCCATCAAGAGTAGAGGATATTCGTAGCTCACTGGTATTCGACCATAGGTGTTTTCGAACAATTACTCGTGTACTTTGGGACCACAAATTAATTATTGCATGGGTTAGGAATAAAGTATTAGGTAAATATGGTAAATCAATGGTTGAAGTAGTAAATTTTATCAACTGAGATGGTTGGGGCATGTGTTACGTATACCCAACCACCGCCTACCTCGACGGGCGATGTTTTTTGGTATAGCAGTGGGCTGAAAGGAAAATATGGGCGACCAAAACATGACACTAGCCCATAAAATTATTAATAGTTGAACATTTTAACAGATATAGACTACATGGTTGGGATTTGTATGATTGTCGTAGTCAATGGTTAAAGACATAGGATGACAAGGCTCAAAACCGTTTACAATTGTTGCGGTGCATCCATTTATCTTCCCCGAATTCCAATATTGTAAATCCCTCATAATAATTTGTGCTTTTATTTTATCAATTTACTGCTATGTTTGAAGCGATTATGAGTTCACCTAGTCTGCGAACGGAACAAAGACTCGGTGACTAAAGACCAATAAGCTAGCTATTCTGAAGCGTCCTATCCCCGCTAACTAGAGAGGGCGAAGTCCAAGTTCAAAACGGGGAAATATATTTCGCAAGCAGCAAGAAACACGAGCAATCGCGACAAGTCCAGTCGGAAATACATTCATTTATATATTGATTCATACACCCATTTTTGATTAATAATCAGAATAAATCACAAATGTGAAAAATACTTCATACAAGAATATCGTATGTTATGAATAAAAATCAATCTAATTTTTACTTTTCATTCCGTCATAACATAGATATTTATTCAAATCGTATATCCGTTGCCTATTAATGCTGATACTAATATAAGACGCAACAATAGTCAGGTGGTATGTTTCTTTAGTGCGGAAAGTTACAAAGTATATATATATATATATATATATATATATATATATATATATATATATATATATATTTCAGCCATCCATTTGCATATTGAGGTGTGTTAGGCAATTTGAACTGTCCTCTTGATTGGCCTTCAAGTGTTCTTTCAACACCATGCTTTCGATGGACTGAAACTCTCTCCTCTATTCGACAATTATTGTAACCTCGACACCACGTTCACTTACACATTACTTACAAATATTTTTGTGAGTAGTGTTCACTGCTCTGTTACTACCTTTAATATTTGGCCGAACAGCTTGATTTCTTGTGCTAATGGGGTATAACAACTTGAACAGTTGTACATTCGTATTAGGTTCTACGTTGTGACTGACTGATTGATTTAATAGCAGTATAATAATAATAATAATTTTTAATATTTTTATTTTTCCTTTATTAAAGATTATCGTATTTTCAAATATATTCAGTTCCTTGATTTTAAATGCTTCGCATACGACTTATTCATTGAATTTTAGTCGTAAAATTATAATTTGCCTAATTCTTCATAATACAATATGAAAATTTTTAAGTTCAACATTTATGTTTCACTTATTAAAATTTTCTGGTACAACTAGTTAATTGATCACTGTTTTTTGTATTGTCTTTTATTGTTACCCTTAAAATTATTCAAAGTTTTTTTGAATGTTTAAGACATTGAATCGCCTTTTTTCTAAAACATCTGTTTATATATATATTAGGTAAGATGTTATTATGTAATTATTGCTCTGTTGTAACATTAGTTGACTTAAATGGGTATGTTTTTTTAGGACAATTTTAATTGAACTTTTTTTTTTAATACAAAATTTATATAGTCTTAGTTACTGTTCTAATTATATTTTAAAATTCAACAAACGACCTTATAGAAAAAGAGCCTAGATATTTCGTCAAATGGTTTTTTTTCTCCCTAAAACAATCTATATTTTCGTAATTATAACCTAATTATTCATTTATACGCCATCACTTATTAAGGTTAAAAAGACTGATGAATATATATATATATATATATATATATATATATATATATATATATATATATATATATATATATATATATATATTCTTTCTATTTTCATCAGTTCGTTTGTATCCAAACTCTGGGAAAATTATCTTGATAGAATATCAATCTATGGAAGAAATGTTAAAGACATATCCTCATTTTAAGTAAGCACAAGGTTTATTATTTGTATTTTTCTTTTGAGTTCATATCTCTAATTCGCAACACAATTATTATGTTATTTATGTTTTCTGTATCTGATGAATTTTAAAATATTTCCTTTTGAATATTTATTCGTTTGATTTATTAAGGTCAATTGTACAAATTTGTTATTCATTTATGAATTGGTATCTTTACATAAAGCCATAATATTTTATGTCTATATATGTGTCGTATTCTGATATATATATATATATATATATATATATATATATATATATATATATATATATATATATATATATATATATATATATATATATATATATATATATATACACAACTGATAATAAGCAATTCTAGTTAAAGGATCCTAATTAATACAAACGTAATGATTTAAGTGAATGAATTTGGTTATTTTGGGAAATGTAAATTAATATGCATTTTGTTTATCTCTTTGTAATTATTATTCATCAATACAGAGAATTTATGTATTTAATCTATGTATCAAGTTGTATTCAGTTTATTCAATATTTCCTTCTACAAGAAATGAAATTATCAGAATATTCGAAATTTGATCTAAAATTTTATACCAGCTTTTCAAGATACATTGACTTATTATGTTTATGTGTGTCGTCGTCTAAATTAACTGAGACGTGTGTTTTAGATGTTTAACTGTCATTTCTGAATAACTTTATTTTGTAGAATTTGGAGTCGAGTTACATAAGTTTATTAATCTTCAAATAAACACATAACATTTTATGAATGAATTGACTTTTTGTGTTTTTTTTTTAACAAATAGCCAATCGAATAACAATTCTTTGTTGATCATTGACTTGCTTTAGAATAATTTTCTTATATTTTTACTTTCGAGGACATGATCTTTGTTTGCTTCTCTCTTCCGCAACATTATACTTTCTTCATTATGACTGTTATTATTGCAAATAACCATCATTTTCCTGATAAACACCCATTAAGTATTATTTTCCTATTTACTTCCCTCGATGTTACTTTTCTTCCTGAACTTTATCGTATTCTACACTATCCTTCTTTTCCACTGGGCCTTCAATGATATCTGAATTTTAAAGTGAATCACCGGCGAAATTTAATGTTTTGTTTATTAGTTCTCATTATTATTATATCCAGTGAAACATTCATTCCGTTGCTATTTGAATGGTCTTCCCAGTCTCCCACATTGCTCAGACGTTCCATGTACTTATAAAAATTATTGCTCTGGTTGTTAAAAGGGACATCGGCCTCGTGGCTTCCGGAGGAACTCGGCTTTCACTATGAGACGTCATAGTTCTTCTAAATGAAGACCTTCTAACTCCGTGGGCAGAGTTTAAATGGCTTGAATTATTTTTTCTGGTTAGCGTTTTTTAGCGAGTTAGTTTTCTACGGGATGGTGTCACTAACCCCATGCCCAACCCTTCTACTTTAACCGGGCTTGTGACCGGCAGTAACTCTAGAAGAGCTACAGGTGGAGTTGCTAAATTCAGAAATTTATGTACGGGTCTTTTTAGATGTTAACAGAACAAGCTTTTCAGTTTCCGACTTTCGACTTGGTCAAGATAAAATTCACATAATCTTACATGTGTATAATTGCAATTTCTCGAAAGACGACATAACATCACAAGTTGACTGAAGTTCATTTTTCAAAAGCTAAAGCACATTTATAGCATAGTGAATTTACTTTGAAGTTAATTCTAACTGAAAATAAATTTATTACACACTACTGAAAAGAAGTATTAAATCAAATCAATTGTTTAGGAAACTTCAAATTTTTCAGTTTAATAATAATAATAGTCAATATCTCAGTGTGTTATATTTTGCTTTGAGTATATCTTATTTCTAGTTCACATTTTTTGTTAGATAATTTATCAAATTGATATTACTTTCCATTTTATTCATTCTCTATTATTACTATTATTATTATCATCATCCTCACTATTATTATTGTTTATTTATTTTCAGACCACAAGATAATGTAAACAGATTATCTGGATTACTGGATCAACTTTTCAAGTAGGTGAACTACTTTGATTATTGCTTTTTGATTGTCCTACTTTTTTTATTATTTGAAGTGTATTTATGATGTTCAAGTGTATGATATACCTTTTCTGTTCATTCAACTGTTTAGGTTGTGGATTATATATATAGGCTTTTCACGTATTTTCTATTACCGTGGTTGTGTTTCTTTTTCTCCTGACTGTAAGTTCACAAGGTTTTAAATTATCGCATATATTTAGTTAGCTTACATCGACTGAAATGCTTGTTCAATGGATTTATGGTTCACTCAAAATTCGACTAGTCAAAAAGTAAGGCTTTGAGATGTTTATTTACTTTCTCAGTGGTCCCTCTAATTTTTTAATTTTACTTTCACTAGCGTACCAGGTTCTGCGTTGTTTTATAATTAGTCGCCTGACTGACTCTTGCTTTGGTAAGTTTTATCACTCCAAGAACTCACAAAATAACCTGCGTACAAACCTTATTAAAGAGGGCGTGGATACACTGCAACACGCAGCGCGGAAATATGAAGAAAAATATCTAGAAACTATCTTTCAAAAGAACGGCTATCCAATCAACTTCATCAAAAATATCAGAACAATACATGAGCAGAAACGAAATTAAGTGCATAGATCAACAAACGGATCATTTTTTCATATATCAAAGACATACCAGAAATTACAACAAGATTAATGAAGCCTTTTGGAATAAGCGTAGCACCCAAACCAGCAAAATCACTTCAATCAATCCTTTGCAAACCAAACAAAAGAAAAAAGACCGAACATCATCTACAAAATAAATTGTTCGAACTGCGAAAAACACTACATCGGACACAGCGGACGTCCTCTTCATCTTCGCCTTTATGAACATGAATTAACGGTCAAACGCCATGACATATCCTTATATCAATGCATGTGGACATGGACGTACGTTCGACTGGAAAAAATTTGAGATCTTGGATATATGGAATTCTAAAAACATCAGAGAATTTTTAGAAGCTTCGCTCTCAGGCCAATCAGCAATTAACAAATATTTTGAAATCGATCCAATTTATCAACCGATGAGAATCAAATTAATGGGAGATACAATCAAAATAAAGAAGTAAATAATGACTGGTTAAAGATCAACAATAACCAATCAAGATTGAGGTCTACAGGACAAGCTGTGAGCCATTTGTTAAGAAATTCAGACACTTCACTTCTACCTGAAGTTTGTGCTGACGATGTCGTTCAGAAGAACGATGAAAGCTCCACAACCAAACCATCCAACTCAGAAAACAAAACTCTAACAAAGACATGATAGTGATAATAATAATAATAATACAAATAAATCGATAGATTGTTACTGTTCGAATAACACTGTCGGTTGAATAAGTTGGTTGAATGGCTTGACAAAATTATTCATAAACCAACTTAATTGTAGCAGAGGTGCTGTAAAATATCGAGGATAAAGAAATCCCATATAGATTAAGCAAAATAATAGTGTATTTTTTTCCAAGTTAACTCTTCGTTGTAATTGTACACTAATATAATGTATTGATAGTAGAATAAACCATCAATCATAAAATCAAATTATTTGACAGTATTTATTATACATATCCAGTTATTTATGAACATATAATAGAATGGATAAAATTAATTTGATTAAAAAGATAGATGAATTAAAGCAATTGTATTAAATCTTAAGGTTTGATCATTTGATCAATAAATTGGAACAGATAATTCTCTAAAAAGAAATAATAAATTAATCATTTTTTTTTCTTCTTTTGGATATACCTTTTAAATGTTATTATCCTATTCATCTTCATTATTGAATTACTTATTTTTAGAAAGAGATAATAATGTATATCATCAATGAGATAAGTTTTCTTAGTGGAACTTATAAAGTTTCTATCGTATTTCTTCAAAATTGTTAACAAATATCTCGATATACTCCAAATACTTATATATATATATCCATAAATTATTTATTTAACCTTTAAATGATAAAAAAATTTTCACTATTGATCTAGTTACATTTTCTCTTTATTTTATTTTCATTAGTCATGTAAAACTGTCATTAATATCTTCGGAACTTTGAGTTCTAGACACATATTAATGCGTTCATATATTCATTAGTTGTTAATTAGTTGAATTTTGAACAATATCACTCATTTTCATTATAGTTGTTACATTCAAACATCATAGAAAAAAAAACACAACCATAATCGTTTTTTTAATATGGTGATAGTATAAAATGCACTTGTTTATATGAACAAGTATTAGGTGAATGTGAGATTAAAATTACTTTATACCTTTCTTTCTATGAACTAATTCTTTATATCTGTATTATATCCATGTATGTAATCCTTTTTTTTCATATATTACTACCATTGTAGTATCTGCTTCTATGAATATGGTGTTCATCTTGTTGTGCTAATGAGGTATAACAACTTGGAGCGATGCGCATATATGTGTCTGGTTCTACATTGTAGTTAACTGACTGAAGGAATCATTTCACTTGAATCTAATTCAGTTAAAGTTGTGTTTTTTTTTGTGTTAGGCAAATTTAATTTTATTTATTGTGTATTTAAGTTCGAGTAGCGGCATTTCACACGACAGGAAACTAACAAGATGTGCAGCAGATGAGTGAAAATAATGTCAACTAGTGTAAATAATGAATTGATCATTAAAGATATGATTCACAATAAATTAGTTTACTGAATGATATATATGGAATGATACTAAGCTCAAGATTTAAAACAATGTAAAGAATCAATATAACCGTACTGCTATGAGGTGTGACACTTTAAACTATTACATATCTCTGGTTGCTTAAATTTCGTCTACCATGGACTTATTAGTTCGTAAGGATTTTAAGTATGACATAAAAATTCAGCATAAAAAATTCTACCGTTTGTGTTGCTTCGAAAAATGCTATCGTATATTGACTAACATCTATATATATATATAGGCCAGTTGTTGGTAACACAGTAGTTTAGAGACAGTACTCTTCGCGATGTTCCTATGTTCAATCCTTGATGGGGATAGGTTGTTAATACACACTCATGAAGTACTCTCATACTCTTATGAGAAAATCTCTCGATGCTCATCGGTTTCTGATAGTTGTCTAGCTGAAATTACTTTGCGGTATAAATGATCTCCCAATTTCAAAGTTTAAAAAACTAGTCGTTGGGATTTCGTGGGTTTATTGACATGAGATGTGTTTTTTTTTAGACACAAGTGAAGTTATTAAGCCTATTTTAACTATTGAATATGCATTCTTTGATGATAATAATAATTAAAAAATTGAATGCATTGGTTTTTTCATCTTAACTTACTAGATTTTTTTATTTTGTAGGGGATAGATCACCTCTTTCCAAAGTTATTTACTCGTTATTCTAACTTACGTGTTTTATTTTGTTTCCAGTTTACATCCTGGATCCTATTTACTAACACAAACCAAGGTCGCATCCGATAATTCGTTTGATATTTACCAATCTGTTAATGATAATCAATCATTTGAGTAAGTTTTCGCCAATCATACATTATTTGTGAAAATGTTGTCATTTATCTAAGATTTGTTTTATTTCTTTTAAACAAAAACCTATCATAAATAATGTAGGTGTTTAAATAAGTCAATTCGTTTGAAATCATACTTTTGGAGTAGTGTTCAGCACTTGAAGTATCCCAATTACCTATGGGATTTTCACTATGAATACTAAATTCTAGATTTTTTGTTATCATTAGACAAAATGTGATTATTTTGAGTAAATGAAGCACTAGAAGTCTAATCCTGTTATTTATTAGATACATTTAGATTTAGTTGTATAGAACTTTGGTTTCAATCCAATGATTCACATGCGCTCCAGGATCCTGAGGAAACAAATGGCGTATGGACCTATTCCTGGTCACCGGCTATCATACGACTGCATCGCCTTACGTTACCGCACTGACTTGTGGATTAGACCTTCAGGGCAAAGGCTCCTAGTGTGGTCTCCTAAGAAAAGCACCTGATTCGGTCTGGGCACCCAAGCAGTATCACAGCCCTAATACAAAGCAATGATAACTGCTATTGGCCTCATTGTTATTGTGTGACGCATATTTATTTGTGCCCCCTTGTACCAATGTTTTTGTGTTCAAATAAATAATTTTTCATGTTTAACCATTATTTGAAGTTTCATGAATAGGAAATAATAGTATGTGATGATTTATAAATTCTGCGTAATGGTTCTTCAATTCATTTGAATATATATATATATATATATATATATATATATATATATATATATATATATATATATATATATATATCGTGGCATTATGTCCCACTACATCTTGTGGATATCTAATGTTGATTGAAGAAATCTGGCTAGCATTATTTCGTATTTAGTCAGAGAAAGGAGTAGGTTTATATGACTATATATTCACTTTATATCTTGTTACATTTCATCTACCTATTCCTTCATATTCTCTCATTTGCTAACTTTTTCTATCAACTTTTAGTTTTTAATCTGAGTTTATCAACAATATTTAATTAGTGTCATCATCTGGCAACAAGGATTTCGGTGTCCTGTACATATTGTAATAGTGTCAACGCATCGGCTCTCATATTTTGGATTATTCTCCGACTCCGGAAGTAGGTGGGAGATGTATAAAGGTGGTTGGTTTATAACATTACACTGTGGTATGAAAGAAGATTGCTTATTACTGGGAATTATCAGTTCATTACGACTTTCTGATTGGAGTCCTAGAGCTGATACAGCTTATTGGCTTCAGACGTTATGAGTCATGTATCAGAATATTAGCTAGCACCCGTCATGCTGTAGTCGCCTGTTACATTCTCCATAACAATGAGAACTCTCTCAACTGAAAGAAGTCTTCTTACGCGGAAATGAATGGTAAAATCCGGAACGCACGTTTCGTCCTATTTCGGGCTCATCTTGATGCACTTGCATCACATAGTTGATGTTCACTCCGGGATAACACGTTAATGTTTAGAGCGAGAAGCACTAGGTTTTAATCACTGATTATGACTTAATAAAAATATAGAAGCAATCCTCACAGAATGTACATATGTTCACCTTTTTTTATATTATTTTATCATTAATATAATTAATCATTCGTTTTCGACTGATTTTTATTATCTAGTATAGATGCTCGTCAAATTAATCTAAATCAAATTTCCAGTCAGTTCTCAACATCTTCAGAAAGATTACTAAATTTATTATCACTTGGAGATGATAATTTCACTGGAACCACTATTCCAGAAGAAATAGCTAGTACACTTTATTTAGTACGTCGTTTAAAATTGGATTTGGATATTCCTGCGGGTTTTGAAAAAATTCATACTTTACAAAATGCTAAATCTGAGAGAAATTTAAAATTGCCTGGATTAAATCGTATGGATTGTATGGAAAACTGTAGTAAACAGAATAGTAGTAGTAGTGAATCAATAAAAACACTGACATCTGACAAAACCAATAAAACTCGTGTTATGAAAGTAACGACATCGAAGAAAAGGACGACGACGAAACCAATAGAGAAAAATAGTACTAAAGGAAGACAACTACCTACTCCTAGTAAAAATGCAAATGATAAACATCGCAGTAAAAGACAAAGAATTAACTGATTTGTTTATGAATTATTTACTTATGGTCCGGTGTATTTGTATATATATTTACTTTAAATCATGTACATTTCTGAGTTCAAGTAAGAAGTAAAGAAACCAGATTAAATTTTAAATTGTTCATTTTTATTTCTTGTGATAAGTTTGTACTGTGAAAGAAACAAAGCCTTATATCATTCAGTAATGGGATGTAGTGTGTTTCGATTCAAGATACCACACCGGTGATGCCATAATTCATGGCCGAACTTTGAGCAATGCTAGGTTGACCTTGAAAATGTCCACTTGTCTACTAGGATTAAATGAGGGTTATAAATTAGTGTGAGGAATTAGGATTTACATTTGAACGCTAGAATAAGAAATTAGATCCAATGTTTTCATCACGAACTAACATAAGCTAAAATGATATTTAGCCAGATGTGTAGATGAATTTTGCGCCAAAATTCAAGACCTGTTATTCCAAATTTGATTGGTTCGCCCATAAATTATAGTCTCGTCAATACTGCACCACTGTCTAGTTCTAGGTCATGCCTCAATATTTCACAGGCTCTAACCAAGATGTTTTGCAAATTATATCAGGGGATTATACTTCGCTGTTGAAACTTCACTATCGAAAAAGTGCGTTTGTACGACAGGTCTTTATTCACATTCATGGGACTATATCTCAGCCCACATTAAACCTACTTTCGAATAAAATCTAACGTGCTTCCCTTTAGCTTATTTTCATGAGAGATATTTCACCTAATTCAAATTTATGTTCATAATTTATAGCTGGTATGTTTTGTAATGATTTTCTAATCTAAAAGCTAACTGCTTGGTATTTTCAATCATAAGATTAATAATTATGTTTTGTGTTGGTAAGTAAAATAAACGATATTATTAATTCACTTTCGATCTTTATGTATTTTGTAGCATTTAAAGTGTTCAAATTAGATTGAAGTACTCTGCAATAGTGTGTAACACTCATAACATACAAGCAATCGATCTGGTGTTTGTTT